GTCCATTACGGCCACTGATGTAGACGTATGTCTCGCCCTTGAAGGAGACCTATAGTCCATGTCCAAAAAAGTATTTTTGTACCTCCGAAATCCTTCCAAGAACTCACTGCAGCATCAGCTACCTAGCACCATGCTAGCCTTAATTCATAACATGCAATGAAGCTCTGTTCACTAAAATAACAGATAACACACAGACAATGGTATTGGCGTAATTGGCTAACCTTTATCAGGATGCCGGAATTTAACTTTTTATCTTTGATCAAAATTTCAATACATTTATTGTTTCAAAAAATATTATTTTAGTGAAGGTGCGGCAAAAGATACCACCCCTTATTAACTTAAGACAATTACATGTAAATAACAACGCAATGTCCAAAGTGCGCTGCGAGCGGGCTGCCCCAATCCCTTACCAGTAAGGGGGAGGTAGGATTTTACCATGCTCAGGCCAGCTGGTAAGTGTTTACTCACTTAGTTATTTCCAATAACACCTGGAATATTGACGCTGCACATAAACAAACCTAACATCTGAAGATAAACCGGGCTTACAAATATGACTGACAAAACTTTGTTCTTTATATAATCAATATTACAATTAATAACAAATATATACGTTCTATTAAAACTTTCAAAACAAGTTCATTGACAAATGACATAACATGCACACGATAAGTAAACTATATTGTAATCATTTTTTGAAAAATTAGCTGCATGGAATTTAGATGATTAAAAATTGCAAGGTAGCTGATAGGGGAGGAGGGAGGGATCAATTTAAGTTTTCACAATTTTTTCTCAAACCAATATGGCGTCTTGATACAGCAGCGAGAGTGAGGGGTTTATCAGCTTCCACCCCACGGTGCTCTCGTTGCTACCTCTGACCAATGGGCATTAACCTTGACCCATTTTAACCAATGGCAGCTGGCCTTGACAAATCTTTAACTTACATAAATATTGATAACTGATGTCACAAAATACGGAATCAAAATCTATAAAAAAAACATACGGAATAATTTCATCAACCAAAAAATTGTATATATAAATATATACTTTAATTTCTCTGCCATGGTGATGGATTAAGTGGTGTAGAAACATGTGGAAGCACCCTTTTATAGTGGTAAGAATGTGGGGGATGATTGGCGGGGATGGAAGAATATGAATATCAAAATTTTGATAGATCACTACTGAAATTGTAGAAATAATATTGGAATTTTCCATTCTGGTTTTCTCATTTATATCTTCGTCGACACCTGCATCTATGTGGTGGTAACGACAAAATTTGCATAGAGGTGATGCTACTTAATTACTCGTTTTGATCGAATGGAACGATTGATCATTTTTGTTGTATTTGATGTTCGGTGTGCTTGTGCTAGGTTTATTGTTTTTTCGTCTTAGGTAAAAATTGGCGATGGTTTTCGGTCTCGTGTTTTAGTGAAATGTTTCAAGCTTATTTAGTGGTGTCTCTGTAAATGGGTTTTTATGTTGTATATTGTTGATAAAATATATTGGTGTTGGAACCATAACTAGCGGCATTTGATAATCCTCTGACCCGAACATTTAAATCGACACCCGTACTTTTCGGGTTTTGATTTCATACAACTTTCCGCGGTTTTGGGGTAGCATTTTTTAGATCTGACGGGAGTGGGTTAATACAGGGAGATTGTTTCTAATGGGTAGGTTTGCAAGTATGGGATATTGTGTGAATTTGTATGTGGTTAATTTGGAATGATTGTTTCTTACGGGTAGGTTTGTAAGTATGGAAGATTGTGTGTATTTGTATGTGGTTAATTTGAAATGATTGTTTCTTACGGGTAGGTTTGTAAGTATCGGAGATTGTGTGTATTTGTATGTGGTTAATTTGAAATGATTGTTTCTTACGGTAGGTTTGTAAGTATGGGAGATTGTGTGTATTTGTATGTGGTTAATTTGAAATGATTAATTTCTTACGGGTGGGTTTGTAAGTACGTGAAAATGATGTCGTTTTTAGGTGGTTACTTTGAAATGATTGTTTCCTACGGAAAGGGTTGTGTGAAAGTACGGGAGAATGATTCATGAGCAAGTGAATTTGCATACGACCTTAGAGTTTGGACCATGACTAGCGGCGTTTAATAATCCTCTGATCTCTGGGTGGAAATAAACTGGACATTTAATCATCCTCTGATCTCTGGGTGAAAATAAACTGGACATTTAATAATCCTCTGACCCGGACATTTAAATCGCAACCTGAAACGTTGTCGCACGTTTTGGGTTTTGATCTTATACAACTTCCCGCGTTCTTGGGAGGGGCCGGAGGGGCGGAGATACTTTTTCGGGTCTGGCGGGAGTGGGTTTATACAACTTCGAGCGGTTTTGGGGTGGCAGTGTTTTCCCGCTGTTTTGGGGTGGGACGGCGGGAAATGTTTTCCCGCAATTTCGGGAGGGGCCGGAGGGGGGAGGGGCAGTTGTCCCATCCCTTTACCTCTTCTTGTTCGGCCCGGGAATTATACCCGAACACAACATCGGCAACATGCACGAAGCAGTGTAGAAATATTACGTGATGGTTTTTATAAGAGAAATTAAGTGGAAATCTAACGTGTCCTTTCTGATTTGTATCAGTCGTGGTGGACGGTTTACCTCGATTTATACTATCACAGACTACGTGATTCCCCACCCTGATCCTTCATTTCCTTTATAAATAAAAGCATAAATTGAAGGAATATTTGATATAATAAAACAACAGCGATAAGTACCGGATAACGAAAGAACATAACATAACATATTTATATTTCACGGCAGTAACATAAAATAATAATAAAACACGTGTATGGAATATTCATATATTCACATCTGGAAATGTATATTTATTTTCCATACATCTGTTAGCTATAATAACAAAAATCAGTTCCATCCAGCACCCAAAAAGGAGTGTTTCTCACGTATTGGTGACTAGAACAAAGATCGTGAGTTCGATCCCTTCACTTCACCTTTTATTTATTTATTTCTATTATTATTGTTTCTGTTTTCAAATATTCAAATTTCGAACAACCATAATACTGACTCTGTAAAATGCATCGCAGAATAAGGTTGATACGGTCAGTGGGAAATGACCTAAACAAATGTTGTATAACCCTAAAAACGGTGCGAACCTATTTTCATGGTTTTATTTTAAGTAAGATAATTGTCATTGGTATGTTTGACAGATTTTCTCTTGCTATCTTACTGTGAGAATGTTTTCCTTTCCAAAACAGTGCCACATTTCAAAACTTCCTAACTATTCTGAGTGGTGATATTATTTGAGGTATATCTGTAACATCAGTAAAACACTTATGTTATAATATAAATACAATATATTAGTTTGAGGTATCTTACGAAACAATAACATTTAATAAGTTCACAACTAGGACAATAAACCAAAATAGAATTGAACACTTATTTTAAAACAATCATTTAAACAAAAACCCAATGTACACCAATCGATCGTCCTAGAACATGTAAATAGATATGTTGTTTTGGAAGGCACATTTCAAGGTATGAACAACAAAACTATATCAAAAACACCATAAATACACAAATACAGTGAACATAAAGCACTTTGATGGAAAAATAGTTTCAACAATTAGTTTATCAATAAGTTAATTATCTTAATGTAACAAGTCAGCACTTGGCGTTTTCCATTTGTAACAGCATGTTAAAGGATTAGTGGAAATATACAAAAATAAAAAAATCCAATGATTTTGAATAAATCTTTAAAACAGTTGTGCTACAAAGCAAAAAATGAAAGCAACTGTGGAAGCGTGAATGGTATTTTAATGCCAAAAAAAGACTAAAAATATCTTTAATTGATAATATTATTTCAGAACGAGTACATCTATTAGAGATTGACATACAATTATAAATAATGAAGTAGTACATGGATACAATTTTACTATATATTACATTAATCTTTAGAAATATGTTTCAAGATAGTTTGAAAAGAGTAAATCATAGTTCATTTCTAACTAATTATTTCGGTAATTAAGTTCCATTTACTTTTAATTTTGTCCCTTTTCTTAGTACTATAAGAGTACAGACCAACCTCTTCTATTTTTTGTAGTAGGATAAATATAATTTACCCGTGGAAAAAGACGGAGTAGTCTCCCTTTGTTTACAATAGTAAATGAAAAACTTCAAGAGTAGCAATATTTTTTTTGTTTCATAATCAAATCTAGCAATATTGACCCCAAAAAGTATTGATTGAGAATTAAATGGTAGTTCAATGCCATGTTTTATTTGTATAAGATTAAAAAATGAGGACCAAAAGACCTTAACATAGCAACAGTCCCAAAATAAATGTAACATTGTCTCCCTTCCATTTTCACAAAACGTACACCTTTCTGTTTCCATAAGTTTAGCTTGCATTAATTTGACATTAGTATATAGAATATTATGCAATATTTTAAACTGGAAATTCTGAAGTTTGGTGTCATCAGTAAGAAGTCTAGGAGACAAGTAGTAAGTTTGCCATGCTTCATCAGATATATTAACTTGCAACACCTCATTCCATTTTCCTTGACTCGTTGGTTTTGTTTTATATTTATTGAACAATAATTTGTTGAAATATTTTGTTACTTTATCATTTTTATTAATATATTCTATCATCCTACACGTAGTAGTTTGTATCGGTACATTGTTTTGCTCTCTCAGGATCCGTTTCCAGTCCCTTGGTAGCGGGTTTTATGGGATTTGCCAGAGGCCACTTGTAATTATATCAACAATAATTACATCCAGACAACCAGGTATTTTTTATATTTACATATTTTTCTTTTTTAAGACATATTCCTACAAAAACCATTTGCCCTGCCTCAAAATACATTTCAGGCGGCCATTTTGTTTGTTTACATATTCTTACACCTGAAACAGGCAGTTGTAATTATAGTCGAGCAGTTGTAATTATAGCCTATATAATTACACTTGCCCTCTAACACTGTTGTAATGGGACGGCGCGGGGGCAAATGTAAATATAAGGCCGTAATACTCTACAAATGTAGTATCAATATCATATTTTTCTGTGAACATTTCATTCAAAAGACATAAAACTGTTATTTATTACAAGATCGTTAATAAAGAAAACTCCTTTTAAACACCACTGTCTATAAAAAGTAGGTCTTCTATCTATTTTAATACTGTCATTATACCAGATAGGTTGGGAAACAATTTGTTGTGGGGTTGTGGGTGGTTTATTTTCTACAATTGATGACCATATAAAATTTCTTTCCAAAAAGTGTTAAAGAAAATGAACTTCTAACTAATCCTTCTTTAGTCATTCTGAAAATGTTATCCCCGCCAAATAATTCTATCTTATTAGACGATAGTATTCTCCTTAACAAGTTGCAACAACCAAAACAAATATTCAACCTTGCGCACATACGACCTCATAAATATAGAAAGAGATCCTGTGATAACCTCCAGCACGTACACCCTCATACATATAGAGGTACTCATAGAGATCACGTGATATCCTCCAGGACGTACACAGTCATACATATAGATGTACTAATAGAGATCACGTGATAACCTCCAGCACGTACACCCTCATACATATGGAAATATTTAAAGAGATCCTGTGATAACCTCCAGCACGTACACCCTCAAACATATAGAGGTACTCATAGAGATCACGTGATAACCTCCAGAACGTACACCCTCAAACATATAGAGGTACTCATAGAGATCACGTGATAACCTCCAGCACGTACACACTCATAAATATATAGGTACTCATAGAGATCACGTGATATCCTCCAGCACGTACACCCTCAAACATATAGAGGTACTCATAGAGATCACTTGATAACCTCCAGCACGTACACACTCATAAATATATAGGTACTCATAGAGATCACGTGATATCCTCCAGCACGTACACACTCATACATATAGAGGTACTCATAGAGATCACGTGATATCCTCCAGCACATACACCTTCATACATATAGAGGTACTCATAGAGATCACGTGATATCCTCCAGCACGTACACACTCATACATATAGAGGTCTGTGCGGTTTTATGCACGTGAAAGACCGATGATATACATTGTGATAACAGTACTGAAGTAAGAGACAAAGTGTGGTGTCATTTAATTACTGAAGTATATGTGATATACAACTCAATGTTTATTTGCATAATTTACCAGATTTCGATTTGACTAATACCCTATTGGGTAGTGAATTAAGTTATAAGCTGTCATTTGAAGATTATGAACAATTAAGATTAGTGCAAATCGTCTGATTGTTTATTAAAGCAATGATGCCCTTACAATGTACAATCCCTTCTCTTATAAAATATTTATGTACACATTAAAATAACAATACGTTTGTACTTTTTCAACGTCCATGTATGTATATGTGTTGATTAATTCTTATATATAACTATGTTTATGTAATCTTCATTTTGGAGGAAGTATAGAGAATAATGACAGCAAACGATCGAGAACATAAATTATATCACATCATGTTAATATGAATCATACCAAACTAGAAAAACATAAACTATAGCACACCATAAAAACATCAATTATAGCGGAAAATGAGAACATAAATTATAGCGAAAAATGAGAGCATAAAGTATAGCGAAAAATGAGAACATAAATTATAGCGAAAAATGAGAACATAAATTATAGCACATTATGAGAACGTTTGGAAAGAGTAATTGATCAAAGGAATTTACAATTGTACTTACGCTGTTATCTTGGAAGTTGTTTTATATATAAGTTACTATGATTTACTTTTTCGTTGGCGTCGTGCATAAAGCTAGTAAATTACATTTTAATTTACAATTTGAAGAATACAAGTAAAAGTCCATTTTTAAAGGCATCGTAATGGATATTTGCCTAATTATTTCTTCAATTCCAGATAAACTCCACGGAACAAATCATCTCGTGATTTTGTTATTCATTGGGGTTTTTTAAACTGAAGCTCATCTATCAAAGTCTTGTTATATATCTGTCAGTACAGTCATATATATATAAATAAAATATTTAAATTCTAGTATTGATTAGATACTATAGTTTTTCCTGTAAATTAATCTTCTCAGTTGTCTCTAAATCTTTCGTAACTTTCCTGCGAAATAAAGAAAATATCATTAACACTTACTACCCATAATAATAAGTTCTAACATTCATCTACTACCAGACATTTGATTTTTATAGTTAGTACACATAATTGTAAGATTAATATTGTTAAAAATCCTGTAACGTTATACGAGCGTCAGTTGTGTACTTTGGCTAATGATCACAAATTTAAATAGACAGATGCAGCTTGAGGAGTAATAAATGTCAATACACTTTTGTTACCGAACGTACATTATAATCGGTACACTGACTTTAAACACTGTGGCCAGACAACGTTCACAGGAACGATACTTATTGAAGGAAGAGATAAAGGTGTTTACATTCCATAATTGACTGATTTTATCATATAACCGGTATTATGAATACACTTACTTTGACCGGTTGTTAAGACAATCCTCGATGGTTTGGGGAAGGGGTTTCCCCGCAGTCTCCGGAAGTAACAAGGCGAGTCCGCCGGCCAGGATCGACAGACCACCAAAGAGGATGAGCGGCAGTGGGCCCCAAACCTGTTTCAACTCCAACATCTGGGGGGCCAACATTCCCCCAATACGTGCACACATGGAGGATACGCCCATACCAGCATTTCTGGGGGGACAAAACGAAAAAGCATAGCCTTCATCTATGTACATTTGCACATTGGTAGTAGAAATAACAACACGGGAATATCGAGGTGTCAAAAACGGATTTCGAACTCAAAATCGATTATACTTGGCAAATTATGAGTTAACAGCGGAATATTCTACATAGAGAACCATGAAAAAGTACAGGGAGAATAAACCCAAGTGTTCCAGAAGGGTATGGGTCTTCTGTTTCTGTTTACCGCCATGTAAATATAGGTCAATTTCATGCAATGTCATATTCTAATATGTTAATAATAATGTTAACCATTGTTTTTTACTATTATATCAAGCGTGGTTGGGTTTATTTTGCTTATATAGACAACTACTAGGCACGGTACAATAGGACTCCTGATCTAATCATTTCTGACAATGGTTTTGAAGTGACAATGACCTCTGTATTCAAGTTGGTCCAGTTCGAATGACATTGACGGTTATCTGCGCAAAATTATATTAACGATAGTCCTGCAGTGTCAAGCTTAGCAAAACATATGATAGCCAGGCCGTGCAGTGCGAAGCTAAACATATAATAGCCAGGCAGTGCCGTGCACAGCAAAGTATATCATGGCCAGGCCGTGCAGTGCGAGGCTAAACATATAATAGCAAGGCCGGCCGTGCACAGCAAAGCCTATCATAGCCAGGCCGTGCAGCGCGAAGCTAAACATATAATAGCCAGGCCGGCCTTGCACAGCAAAGCATATCAGAGCCAGGCCGTGCAGTGCGAAGCTAAACATATAATAGCCAGGCCGTGCCGTGCACAGCAAAGCATATCATAGCCAGGCCGTGCAGTGCGAAGCTAAACATATAATAGCCAGGCCGGCCGTGCACAGCAAAGCGTATGATAGTCAGGCCATGCTATGGCAAGCCAAGTTGTCATTTATGCATGGAGCAATGTTGATCCAGTACTTAACCAAATTATATAAGATATCTTATTTAATTATATAAGATATCTTATATACTTTATGAGATATCTTATATACTTTATAAGATATCTTATATAATAAATGAGATATCTTATATATTTTATAAGATATCTTATATACCTTTCTTTATAAGATATCTCATAAAAGATATAAGATATCTTATATATTATATAAGATATCTCATAAAAGATATAAGATATCTTATAAAGAAAATTAAATGAGATATCTTATATCTTTTAGAAGATATCTTATATAATATATAAGATATCTTATAAACAAAATTAAATGAGATATCTTATATAATTCGGTTATAAGATATCTTATAAAGAACGAGATTTGAATTTGAGATAATAAACCCTCCTCCACAGCGCTCGGTAAAGCATTAAATCGAAAGCCTTAGTTTCGTACGTATCTCTTAACCGGAAATGAAGTATGTGAAAGTGAAAGTAGGAGTTTAATGCCACCAAATAGGTCTGGTTATAGCGGTATTAACATTATTTTAAAAGGTTAAGCTTTATAAAGTAGATGGGGGGTAAGTGGTGGAGAAATGGATGTTCCTATGTATTTCATAACTGAAGGAAAACGATCCTACTGCATGTATTACTTACAATTTATTCATTAAAATGTTTTATCTTGATTTTCTTCACGGATTTCCTCTAAATGTTTTTAAAGAAATTTGATAAAATTGTAATATTACCCGTACAAATTCACAGACAGGTAATTGACATTAAACATATTAGGAACATTTATTAATTGTTTCGGCTGCTTATCACAGACCGCATTAAAGCCATTTTGGTCTCTGTGGAGTATAACATATAGATAGACATGGGGACATTTTTTTTTATTTACTGTTTCAGACTGGTCATACACCTGTATTTATTATCACAGACAGGCTATGTATCTTTAATTATATTGTTTCAGATAAAATTGTTTTAACTATCACAGACATTAAAGAACATACTTATGTATTTGTAATTCTATGTTCTATCAATATACTGTAATGTAAGGAACATTAATTCATTGTTTCAAACTGGTTATAAACTTGTATTTACTTATACTATTACAGACAAGAAGTAATATTTCATTATTTGATACATATGTATACAGATAAGTGATATTTCATCATCAGGTGCATGTTCTTTAAAGTCTTTGAGATATTGATCACTTATAAGATATATTTTGTAGAGATACAATTGTATTTTGTGACCTAAAAGGCATTTCACACAAGCCAGATACATGGTAACACTTACAGCATGTCTGTAGTAGTAATTACATGTGTAATACCTGTCTGTGATAGTATATACATGTGTAATACCTGTCTGTGATAATATATGCATGTGTAATAACTGTCTATAGTAGTAATTACATGTGTATTACCTGTCTGTGATAGTATATACATGTGTAATACCTGTCTGTGATAGTAAATGCATGTGTATGATCTGTCTGTGGTAGTAAATACATGTGCAATACCTGTCTGTGATAGTATATTCATGTGTAATACATGTATGTAGTAGTACATGTTTAATACCTGTCTGTAGTAGTATTTATGTGTAATACCTATCTGTGATAGTATATGCATGTGTAGTACCTGTCTGTAGTTGTAATTACATGTGTAATACCTATCTGTGATAATATATACATGTGTAATACCTGTCTGTAGTAGTAACTACATGTGTAATACCTATCTGTGATAATATATACATGTGTAATACCTGTCAGTAGTAGTAACTACATGTGTTATACCTGGATGTAGTAATATATATATATATAATATATTGCTGAGCATCAAAACTTGGATACACTTTTGTTAGAAAGACTTGTCCTAACTCAGTGCCTCTTGTTTATTATAAAACACAACAAAGATATCTTTATAAAGAAATATTGAGAAGGTTATATAATGATTTGTATACAGATTATACAAACTAGTAAACAGGGTAAATAAGAAGTGGTTTACAGAGTATATAAAGAATGGTATATAGAGAGTGGTATACAGGGTACATAAAAAGTCCTTATTTATTTAGTAAGGGTATCCTCTATAATACAGCCTCATTGCATAAGGTACCTGTATTTATCATCTCTATTATATATAGTGTATTGACTCATTTTCCAGAAGATACAATGTACATGATACAAAGTATATACATGGTATATTTCCGGTAAAGAGGAAAATAAGACATTTCATCTTCAAAAACCTGTAATTGTAGCATATCTCAGGTCTGAAAAAAACAGAGGCAAATCAGTCACTGGGCCAGAGCATTTGGGTGCCAATAGAGGAAGTTTGGGTGTAAAGATAATTAAGATCCCCCACCATGTAACCATCTGAATACATCCATGCTTACATGATTGGCGCCAGGGTCCTGCCCTGCCACAAGGGGCTTATAGTCCCCAAATTTTACATGAAATCAGTAAAGATCCCATCCAAATGCTGCTGGGCATGCAGAGGAAAAACACTCATGATACCAAGATAGTCCCTAATGGAGCCCACCCCATCCCTGAGGACTTACTCCTTCAGTCATAACATGGAAATTGTTGAGATCCCCAAGCTGATATTTCCTGTATGGTAAGAGGTAATCAACAACTTTTAATGAAAAATATTATTCCAGGTGAGCTATTAATAATGTGCCTGTGCTTCTTGTTCTTGAGAGGCCACAATAAGGGAACATAAATGGGAAACTCCAGCACAAGCAAACATGTTATATTTCCTGTGCATGCAATCAATATGAACCAATATCAGACAACTATTATAAAGATGAGGTACCTTACCTACAGAGAATATGGACCTTACATATACCTCATGTATATGTGCATGCATACAAGATGTACTTGATGTATAGGTGTAATCTGATGTATAGAAGGTATATATATACCTGATGCATGGAAGGTGTATATATATACCTGACCTATAGGAGGTGTATACCTGATGTATAGAAGGTATATATACCTGATGCATGGAAGGTGTATACCTGACCTATAGGAGGTGTATACATGATGTATAGAAGGTATATATACCTGATGCATGGAAGGTGTATACCTGACCTATAGGAGGTGTATACATGATGTATAGAAGGTATATACCTGATGTTTAGAAGGTGTATATCTGATGTATATGAGGTGTATATCTTAAGGTTTTTTTTATCAATTGTCGCCCTTTTACTCTTGGGGAGGGGATACATTTACATGATGTGATCATGTGGACGCTAAGGGCCTGAGGGGCGGAGCCAAAAGGGGCCAAAATAGCTCAAACAATAATTGTCTACTTCCAGATCCAGATATGTTAAAAAACCTTCTCATGGATGGAAATATCCTGATGTGCTTAATCAAAATGTGAATTTCACAACCCCTTGGGTACTAATTCCTCCCTGGTGAGGGGCAAAATTCCCTGCTATACATATATATATATGTAATTTTTATTTTTGACATATCACAACAACAAATAACAATTGCATTACAACTCAGGTGACCTGTTAGGCCCATGGGGCTCTTGTTTTAAAGTACTGTATTAGTTGGATGTGTTGATATTGGCTTCCACTAATAATCCCACTACTTACCTATAATTAGATGTGGGTTACAGGGACATGTCACATGCTTATTAAGTGTGCTGCAAAATATATATATATACTGTGATGCCCATTCATTATATATAATATCTTCCATTGTATATATAAACGAGTACCTGGTAGTATTTGACATGTCCCTATAGACTTAAGGTTATGGAATTATGCACTATAGAAATATTCAAATTTCAAATATTTCATATCAATATGGATTGAGTGTCGGTGCTATATATTTAAAAAAAAAACTGTTCAAAACAGTTGATTCTCAAACAGAATTTGTTCTGTATCAAAAAAAAAAATGTTTTTGGGCTGAAATATCTATCCTAGATGTTATTATTAAAAAGAGTTATACAATACTTATCCACAAGTTTTTGAGTCTTGAACCCAAATGTTAAGCACATGTATCAGTAAACTGAATATTTCTCTTGGAATCTGCTTCAAACTTTGGGGGAAAAGTCCTATTTGTACCATATGCTCCCCTGAGTGATAAAATTAATTTGGAAAAGGAACTGAAATACAAGACATTCTTCATTTTTGAAATTATATCTAAGTTCCCTAAGTTTATGATCTAGTGCCAGTCACTTTTCATAAATAAAGATGATGAGATTAATTTAATATAATAAAATAACCTTGCTATAGTGATATGTACACATATATAGTATAAATATATTTTATTATGAATTTTTTCTTGGACTTAAAATTAACCTAGAGAGGTCAAGTTAGATCAAATGTAAAAATAAGCAGTTAATGTCCTGGGTATAATAAATTGTATTTCATTATAAATATTCTTCGTGTATTTTAGATTTGCTTATATCTGGTAGATTGCAAGATTCTATACCACCAGGTCTAAATTAACATATAGGACAGTCTTTGAAAAATGGGACAAAATCTAAACAAGCTACTTGGGGTGGGCGACTCACTGAGGGTAGGTTAACTAATTTGATTGGTTTGGAAGAACACTGAACAGATGTACATGTCCTTTACCTGTTAACTCACAAAATACATGAACACAAACTTTAAACCATGAATTTATAACACAGGAAAATCAGCAGAAATCAATAAATTTTGCTTACAACAAAGAAGACAAGTGATGTGAATGATAAATGTTGAATCAACTAACTCAGCTTAGCTTTCTGACATCAACTATAAGACAAGACCTCATTAATAATATAAACCAAACCCCTCCCCCCTCCCCAAATCAAACCAAACTAGAATTCTTCAACGAGGCTGTGTACGAAAAATAACATAAATCAAGATGAATTTTAAAATCTCACTTTATATTTGAGTATGTGGTGACTGATTATGACAATATTTCTGCGCTCTTACCGAGTTTGGCATCATTACACCTTCACAATATAAATCCTCAGCAAACTACTTTCATTTGTCTCATTCTGGTTGAAAATGACGTACAACAGATTAATAAATGACAGTGATTCTCACTAATAAGAACTATATCTAAACCTTTGGATTTTAGGCCAACGAAACTAAATTGTCATTTGAATAAATAAACATGTAGCAACTTCACAGACATTTTCTAAGTTCTCAATGGCTCTTTAGAACACTCGAGTTTCTTTCGGAAAAGTTTATAACTCTGGATTATTCCAGCCATTTTAGAATATATTAATGTGTGATTCCTAACACTAATATTTTAAAATGTATGCGTAAATATAATAATTAATATTTGAATATATCAACTAAAATTCTATATTGGTGTTAGTTATACTTCCTGTTGAAAAATACGAAACTGTACGGGCGCAAAGCTAGTTTTACACAGCTCCCGTTTATCGGACTCGTGATCTTACAACGGGAGCAGTCATTTTCAAACATTTCTTCTTTGTCGGTCTCGCGAGAGTCTCGTTCTTTATAAGATATCTCATAAACTTTTCTTTATAAGATATCTTATATCTTTTATGAGATATCTTATATAACCTAGTCAAGGTCACTGTCACTATAAATAGAAAATCTGTTTTCGTGCGATAACTTGAGTTTCCTGTGGCCGATCAAACTCAAACATCATGCAGTGCTTTCTTACCAAAAGTGCTTGCATGGGATTGCTTTTCAGGTCCGAAGGTCAAAGGTCAAGGTCACTGTTACTATAATTAGAAAATCTGTTTTCGTGCGTTAACTTGAGTTTCCTTTGGCCGATCAAACTCAAACTTCATGCAGTGCTTCCTTACCAAAAGTGCTTGCTTTGGATTGCTTTTCAGGTCGGAAGGTCAAAGGTCAAGGTCACTGTTACTATAAATAGAAACTTCACTAAAACTGTATACTTGACGGCTTCGATCTACCACTTGACCCACCGTGTATACCTCTGAAATGCCGTATATGTCGATAAGTTGGGTTACTTCCCCTATTTATGGAGTTATGCTCTTTTGTTGTGTCGCCTGCGAAAAGCTGGTGACACATAGGTATTGCTTTGTCGGCGGCGGCGGCGGTGTCGTCCGAACAGAGGTTTTCGTGCGATAACTTGAGTTTCCTTGGGCCGATCAAACTCAAACTTCATGCAGTGCTTCCTTACCAAAAGTGCTTGCTTGGGAATGCTTTTCAGGTTAGAAGGTCAAAGGTCAAGGTCACTGTTACTATAAATAGAAAATCTGTTTTCGTGCTATAACTTGAGTTTCCTTGGGCCGATCAAACTCATACTTCATGCAGTGCTTCCTTACCAAAAGTGCTTGCTTGGGATTGCTTTTCAGGTTAGAAGGTCAAAGGTCAAGGTCACTGTCACTATAAATAGAAAATCTGTTTTCGTGCGATAACTTGAGTTTCCTATTTATAGTGACAGTGACCTTGACCTTTGACCTTCTAACCTGAAAAGCAATCCCAAGCAAGCACTTTTGGTAAGGAAGCACTGCATGAAGTTTGAGTTTGATCGGCCCAAGGAAACTCAAGTTATCGCACGAAAACCTCTGTTCGGACGACACCGCCGCCGCCGCCGACAAAGCAATACCTATGTGTCACCAGCTTTTCGCAGGCGACACAACAAAAGAGCATAACTCCATAAATAGGGGAAGTAACCCAACTTATCGACATATACTTTATTCACATCCTCTCAATGCAGGTTTACATTCAAAATGAATAACTTCATTATCAGTGGGGGACTAATTTATATACTTCATTGACATTTCCTTGATATAAGGCCTCTTCGTAGCTAGCATCAATCAAATTGGTGAAGTACATTGTAAGGGGGAGGGTAATGGAAACAATGTTTTAAACTAAGGGGCATGTATTTATATTCCAATGTGATAATTTGACTTTATTTCTATATTTCAGTGGATTTCTATACCACTTGATCCTACTATATGACTTACCTGACAACCGTTGGGAACACCTCGGCTGCCATCAAGTAGATTATACCGTATGATGCTGTAATTCCGAACTTTCCCAACATTGCGAATGTGACCTTTACTGCTACCATGTCTGTATAAAACAGGTCATCGTGTTTATCAAATAAAATGTCAGAAATCAGAGAAGGTGAAAGAGTTAAAACTGCAAACATTAAGTTGTTTCCATAACAATTACGCAGTCAATCTAATGTGACAAATGTAACAACTTAATTCAATGGTAGAATCATTTATCACAATAAGAAATATATATCAACTTGTCAAAGCCTCTTTAATCCGGACTCGTTTGATAACAGCTGATGTTGACTCAATAAACGGTCTTTATCTGGATCTAGTTACTTAAAGTAAATCTGGACTCACTAAATAAGCATTAATCCGGACACAAATGGTAATTAGAGTTAATGTAGAATCAATAAATAATGTTAATCCGGAAGCGTAACTATTGACCCAGATCAGATCCGAAAAACTCGAAAATAATTCAAGTGTCAAAAATACAGAAAATATGTTGTTCCTTCCTCATCTTTAATGTCGTGCCTGTTTGGTAAAATAAACTTACCATTAGGGATAAATCCAGATATGATACACGATATCCCTCCCGCAAGCATGGTTCCACAGAGGGGCCAGCGCCTACCCAGCCTGTTGAGGAAGATGACACAGAGGACATAGGCTGGGATCTCCACAGCCCCGGCTATACAGAAGTTGATGTAGGGATCGCCTCCCAGGTTATCTGTACCCAGTGACAGACCGTAGTACACCATAGCGTTGATCAACCTGTCACAATTACAGTCATTGTAGTCCAAGATGTGTAATACCTTTAGCCCACTATTGTTAAATGAACAACTCATTTGTTTCCAATGTGTACGTGTTCTATATAAATTTCAGGCTGTTTGATAAAATGCACCTTTTCGTGAAAAATAGAAAACTTTTAAGTATTTACTGAAAACACAATCTTCTATGGTTTGTACGTTACCTGAGAATATCACTCCGAAATATTCTCCAAATATGGGATAATCTTACCAATTAAACCAAACGTTGATGGATAGTAAAAACATTGGAAAAGGTCGCAGCAAGTCAAGAAAGGTGTACTTCCTGTCTTCGGGAACTTCCGGTTGGTCTTTTTTATCGGTTAAATTCTCCATCATGTTGTCGGTAAGAACTACTTTATTGGTCTTAGCTACTTTTTTCATGATCACCCTGGCCTCCTCAATCTTGTTCTTGGAAAGCAACCAGCGGACAGATTCTGGAAGACACCTGAAAAGGAAAGTAGGTCAAGGTCAACAAGTTTTTCAAAGTGGTCGCAATGTTATAAGGCGTTATAGGCCTGCACCACTTTTAGCTGTAATAGTCCTACTTTAGAGATCTACAGTCCTTTCTGAGTGACGACAAGGAGTTTCTTCAGAAAAATGCAGTGCTTGAATGACTTAACTACTCTAACCATGTCGAAGAACAATGGCAAGGTCCTTCACACTGTGAAGAGTTTGGTATACATTGTATAAATATCAATTTCAGCGTGATTCGACAGCTATCCCCTAAATAGATCTGTCTGCACACTGTAGGCCTACCTATAATCAATATATTGAATGTGTTTGATCTTATATCTTCAGAGTTTCTTCAGGGGTTCCATGCATTTCCCCTTCTGCTTCAACAGTAGTTTAAACCGATTTGGATTTCCACCTGTTTGGCCTCATGCATCACTGATATTCCTAAAGGGACGAAACAGCTGTATGGAGCAGTATATTTCGTTTTTGGCATACTGTGTCAATTACCAACTTAATGTGTACAATCATGTGTGTCTTACGTTCATCTTTCAAGATACAAGGTACATGTATCTGGTAGTGGATGTTTAGCTCCCGATGTTAGTCCTAACCTTAAAGCTCGATGGCCACAGTTATATTACACACACTTTAGTCGTTACTTATTGAAAATTAGTCAGGACCCCTCTAAGTTTTAAGATTCATATAATTAAGAGGTTTTATGCAACTCCGCTTCTATGTCAACAGTACATTTTATTTTATTTCATCAAATTTTATTGACAAGATGTCATAGTCAATTGGATTGAATAACAGGCAAAGCCTATAAAAATTCTCTCCGTCAAATGACTAAAGTGGAATAAACAATGAGACATAATATTTTAGACATGTTGCAAATGAAAATATTCACACAAAATAATTCATATTAACACAAGGCTAAGGGGAAGTAACTCATGAAGGAAACATCTCACACACCTCATACACATGTACACTTACACACACATACAAGTACATGATATATACACTATCCTAGACATATATTGGCAGGCTTAGACCAAAAGTCAATGTGCATATATTGTACAGGTAACTGCTACCAACAACTGTTACAATCAAAAATAATAAATTCATTTAATACATATAGAGTGTAATTATTTACAATTTCAAGATAAGTACACGTAATAGACAGTAGTCATTCTCAACTAGAATCTCCTGGATGTAATATAGAATATAAAGTATATTTTTGTTTAACATCGTGGCTTTAAGTCATATAAAAATTACAAGAGGCCCAATGGGCCTGCATCGCTCACCTGGTATAAATCTCACACTTGTAACCTTAAAAGTGATCTAAAATAAAGCTACAGGCAGGATATCAGTATTTATGACTAAAATTCATTCAAAAGAGCCTGTTCATTTTTTTTTAAAACATTTCACCCCTGTGATTGAAAGTCGAACAAAGTCATTCAGTAGAACAATTTTTATAGCCTTTCATCTCAGGATGCTTCTGGCCAAATATCATCACCTTGGGCATTTTGGTAATTGATAAGAAGTTGTTTAAAGTTTTTAACATATTTGACCCCGGTGTCCATGAATATGGGTGAAGGTCATTCATTTTAACAAACTTTTTAGCCCTTCATCTCAGCATGCTTCTGGCCAAATATCATCACCATGGGCATTTTGGTTATTGAGAAGAAGTTGTTTCAAGTTTTCAACATATTTGACCCCTGTGTCCATGAATATGGGTGGAGGTAATTCATTTTAACAAACTTGGTAGGCCTTCATCTCAGCATGCTACTGGACAAATATCATCACCCAGGGCATTTTGGTTATTGAGAAGAAGTTGTTTAAAGTTTTTAACAAATTTGACCCCTGTCACCTTGAATATAGGTGAAGGTCATTCATTTTAACAAACTTGGTAGGCCTTCATCTCAGCATGCTACTGGACAAATATCATCACCCAGGGCATTTTGGTTATTGAGAAGAAGTTGTTTAAAGTTTTCAACATATTTGACCCCTGTGTCCATGAATATGGGTGAAGGTAATTCATTTTAACAAACTTGGTAGCCCTTCATCTCAGCATGCTACTGGCCAAATATCATCACCCTGGGCATTTTGGTTATTCAGAAGAAGTTGTTTGAAGGTTTTTTAGACAATTGACCCCTGTGACCTTGAATGTAATTGAAGGTTATTAATTTGAACAAACCTGATAGCCCTTCACCCAAACATGCTACTGGCCAAATATCGTCTCCCTGGGCAGTTTGGTTATCGAGAAGAAGATGTTTAAAGTTTTTAACATATTTGACCCCTGTGACCTTGAAAATGGGTGAAGGTCATTAATTTTAACAAACTTTGTAGCCCTTCATCCCAGTTTGCTTCTGGACAAATATCAACACCCTAGGCCTTTCGATTATTAAGAAGAAGTCATTTAAAGTAAAATATTGACGCCGGACGACGGACGGACGGACGGACGGACGGACGACGGACGGCATAAGCTCACTTGGCACTTCGTGCCAGGTGAGCTAAAAACGACGGGATTTTCCAATAGAATGTTTTTATCAATGCGATTGTGGTTTCCATAACTATTAAGAGAAGTGAACAAAGTAGTTCTTTGATTATTAAAAATAGGACATTCCAAAAAGTAACGAGATACTGTTTCATGTTTAGCAGAGCAGGTACAAGCAGGACTATTAATAAGATGGTCATGGTGTAAATCATAGTTTAAAATACTGCAAGAGTTTCGAAGTTGACATAGAATAATACTTGCTCTTCGGTTACCTTCAGTTTTGAAAATTGAAACAAATTCACTATCAGAAATAATATCTATATTCAAATATTTTTTTAATGCTGCAGGAGAGGGAGAATTAAGAAGATCAGAATTTGCAGTGTTAATTGTGCGGCACATTTGAGGGAAAAAACTGTCGAAATAGTTATTAGTTTTACATAACGGTGGGTTGAAAAGCTTAGTTTGTCTGAGAGGGTAGGGGTTATCATTTTGATTATTAATGAAAGGATTTAAAACATTTTGTAAGTATTGAGGTGTCTGCCAATGCATAATTTTGTACATCATTACATGTTTGTGTTTATTTCGTCTTACAGATAGTGTTTCCCAACCTAGTTCATTGTATAGTTTGTCATGTGATACCCCAGAACGAAGACCTGTTATTATCCTAGCTGCTTCTAATTGTACAGATTCAAGAACATCTTTTGCCTGTTGTGTACAATTATCCCAAATAATATCTGCATTTTCATAAAATTGGCCTAATAAATCCCACATATATTTTAATTAATGATTTTCTATTTACTTTAGTTTTGACATGGCGAAGAATATTAAGTCTATTGTAAGCTTTTTTGTATATATTCTGTATGTGCTGTTTCCATGTTGCATCATCTTGAAGTGTAAGTCCTAAGTGTTGATGTGATGATGTGTCTATGATTTGGCTATTTTGGAAAAATAGTGGGATGTGATGGGTGTCTTGAATTCTAGATAATATGAGTGACTTTGTTTTACTTGGATTGAATTTAATGTCCCAAGTTGTTGACGACTGATTAGGATTACCGCCTGATTTGGTCCCTAGCATCACTGATGAGCCCTAAACGGACGAAACAGTTGTTTGGTGTCGTGTAATACGTACATCACATGTTTAAAAATGTATGTGCACCCGCACGCGTGTGAATTACGCTAATCTTTCACTACATACGCAACTGCTTTACAATTTATAACAACGTTAATAACAATTCGTACCACCAGTAGGCTGCAAACAGGGCCACGGGAACGGTGATGGCAACCTCAATGTAGCGCCAGTGTCGGATAAAGTAGGCCATCAGAGACAGGGTCATGTACCCCACACTGTAGAAACTCTGTATCATAAACCCAGCCATCAGTCGATATTTTGGTGCCACCAATTCTGTACCTGTTTAAGATTTAAAAGAAATAAATATAAATTTTGGGATGTGCTTTTATAAATGATCGAGTCATTTTTCCCATTCCTTTAGTTATTGAATGTATACAGCGAATGCTGCTTACTGACTGAAATATTATTTAATCTCAAAATGGACGAATATGTCGTTCCGGATAAAATTGACTCGATTTCAGTCCTATTTTACGTAGCACCACACCACAGCTATCATTAAATATCTTAACAGTTGCTGCCAATCACGTTAACGTCTGAAAGTATATCATTTTCAAGATTTTGATTAGGAAATTCATCGACGGGAATATGTTTCCATGTTCAATATGGTGGTGGATTGCAATATTGTAGCTTTTCACCATACAAATCAACAAAGAAATATCTTGAAATCATTTTTTTTCTGTTGGTTTAAGAATAGGGCAAAATATTATTTTCACAAAAAAACACTATAAGTAGTGAAATGATAGCATCATTTCTGATATACTCTTCATTTAACTTACACATTGTATACGCAACCAGAAAGAGGCCGGTCTGTGCTGCCCCCTGTAGGATATAAAATGGAATGAACACCGCCATAGAGGGCGCTACAGCTGCAACACATCCGGCTATCAGTAGGAACAGTAGACCGAAAAAGAACATTGGCTTCCTCCCAAATCTGAAATGACCGTTATATTTATAAGTCGATTAGCAATTAATATAAAATTTATATATATATGAATCTGTGCCACAAATCACCAAAGAAGAAAAAACAAATGGTTGTAGAACGATATTCTCTACTAATAAAACGAGGATATACGTACATATCTGAGAGCTGTCCGAATATGACTGCCCCAAGGAGACGACCTAAGAAGTAGAATGTCTTCGATGTACTTCGGAGCCATGCCTGACTACAAACCAGGTCAAACTGAAGACAAACAAGGCGTGAATCGTTATATTTCGTAACACAGACGTACACAGTATTTATATCAAATGATCAATGGAGGGGGACACGTACACAGTATTTATATCAAAGGATCAATGGAGGGGGACACGTACACAGCATCTATATCAAAGGATCAATGGAGGGGGAGACGTGCACAGAATTTATATCAAAGGATCAAGGGAGAGGGGGAGACGTACACAGTATTTATATCAAAGGATCAAGGGAGGGGACAAGTACATAGTATTTATATTATAAAATCAAGGGAGGGGAGACGTACACAGTATTTATATCAAAGGATCAAGGGAGGGGACAAGTACATAGTATTTATATTATAAAATCAAGGGAGGGGAGACGTACACAGTATTTATATCAAAGGATAAAGGTAGGGGAGACGTACACAGTATTTATATCAAATGATAAAGGGAGGGAAGACGTACACGGTATTTATATCAAAGGAACGATAGAGGGGTAGACGTACACAGTATTAATATCAAATTAGCAATGGAGGGGGAGACGTACACAGTATTGATACCAAAGGATCAATGGAGGGGGAGACTACACAGTATTTATATAAAGGATCACGGGAGGGGGAGACGTACACAGTATTTATACCAAGGGATCAATGGAGGGGGAGACTACACAGTATTTATATCATCAATGGAAGGGCGAGACGTACACAGTATTTATATCAAAGGATCGAGGGAGGTGGAGACTACACAGTATTTATATCAAATGATCAATGGAAGGGCGAGCCGTACACAGTATTTATATCAAAGGAGCACGGGAGGGGGAAACGTACACAGTATTTATATCAAATGATAAAGGGAGGGGGGACGTACACAGTATTAATATCAAATGATCCATGGAGGGGGAGACGTACACAGTATTTATATCAAATGATCGAGGGAAGGGTAGACGTACGGCATAGTATCAATATCAAAGGATCAAGGGAAGGGCGAGCCGTACACAGTATTTATATCAAATGATCGAGGGAAGGGTAGACGTACGGCATAGTATGTATATCAAAGGATCAATGGAAGGGCGAGCCGTACACAGTATTTATATCAGTACACAGTATTTATATCAAATGATCAAAGGAGGGGGAGTCGTACACAGTATTTATATCAAATGATCGAGGGAAGGGTAGACGTACGGCATAGTATGTATATCAAAGGATCAATGGAAGGGCGAGCCGTACTCAGTATTTATATCAAAGGATCACGGGAGGGGGAGACGTACACAGTATTAATATCAAATTATCAATGGAGGGGGAGACGTACACAGTATTTATACCAAAGGATCATTGGAGGGGGAGACTACACAGTATTTATATAAAGGATCACGGGAGGGGGAGACGTACACAGTATTTATACCAACGGATCAATGGAGGGGGAGACTACACAGTATTTATACCAAAGGATCAATGGGGGGGGAGACTACACAGTATTTATACCAAACGATCAAGGGAGGGGGAGACTACACAGTATTTATATAAAGGATCACGGGAGGGGGAGACGTACACAGTATTTATATCAAATGATCAAAGGAGGGGGGACTAACCAGTATTTATATCAAAGGATCCCGGGAGGGGGAAACGTACACAGTATTTATATCAAATGATCGAGGGAAGGGTAGACGTACGGCATAGTATGTATATCAAAGGATCAATGGAAGGGCGAGCCGTACTCAGTATTTATATCAAAGGATCACGGGAGGGGGAGACGTACACAGTATTAATATCAGATGATAAATGGAGGGGGAGACGTACACAGTATTAATATCAAATGATAAAGGGAGGGAAGACGTACACGGTATTTATATCAAAGGAACGATAGAGGGGTAGACGTACACAGTATTAATATCAAATTAGCAATGGAGGGGGAGACGTACACAGTATTGATACCAAAGGATCAATGGAGGGGGAGACTACACAGTATTTATATCATCAATGGAAGGGCGAGACGTACACAGTATTTATATCAAAGGATAAAGGTAGGGGAGACGTACACAGTATTTATATCAAAAGATCAATGGAGGGGGAGACGTACACAGGATTAATATCAAATGATCAATGGAGGGGGAGACATACACAGTATTTATATCAAATGATAAAGGGAGGGGAGACGTACACAGTATTTATATCAAATGATCGAGGGAAGGGTAGACGTACGGCATAGTATCAATATCAAAGGATCAATGGAAGGGCGAGCCGTACTCAGTATTTATATCAAAGGATCACGGGATGGGGAGACGTACACAGTATTTATATCAAAGGATAAAGGTAGGGGAGACGTACACAGTATTTATATCAAATCATCAAGGGAGGGGAGACGTACACAGTAGTTATATCAAAGGATCAAGGGAGGGGACAAATACATAGTATTTATATTATAAAATCAAGGGAGGGGAGACGTACACAGAATTTATATCAAAGGATCAAGGGAGGGGGAGACGTACACAGTATTTATATCAAAGGATAAAGGTAGGGGAGACGTACACAGTATTTATATCAAAAGATCAATTGAGGGGGAGACGTACACAGTATTAATATCAGATGATAAATGGAGGGGGAGACGTACACAGTATTAATATCAGATGATAAATGGAGGGGGAGACGTACACAGTATTGATACCAAAGGATCAATGGAGGGGGAGACTACACAGTATTTATATAAAGGATCACGGGAGGGGGAGACGTACACAGTATTTATACCAAGGGATCAATGGAGGGGGAGACTACACAGTATTTATACCAAACGATCAAGGGAGGGGGAGACTACACAGTATTTATATAAAGGATCACGGGAGGGGGAGACGTACACAGTATTAATATCAGATGATAAATGGAGGGGGAGACGTACACAGTATTAATATCAGATGATAAATGGAGGGGGAGACGTACACAGTATTTATACCAACGGATCAATGGAGGGGGAGACTACACAGTATTTATACCAAAGGATCAATGGAGGGGGAGACGTACACGGTATTTATATCAAAGAATCAATAGAGGGGGAGACGTACACAGTATTAATATCAAATTATCAATGGAGGGGGAGACGTACACAGTATTAATATCAAATTAGCAATGGAGGGGGAGACGTACACAGTATTTATACCAAAGGATCAATGGAGGGGGAGACTACACAGTATTTATACCAAAGGATCAAGGGAGGGGGAGACTACACAGTATTTATATCAAATGATCAAGGGAGGGGAGACGTACACAGTATTTATATCAAATGATCAAGGGAGGGGAGATGTACACAGTATTTATATCAAAAGATCAATGGAGGGGGAGACGTACACAGTATTAATATCAAATGATCAATGGAGGGGGAGACGTACACAGTATTTATATCAAAGGATCAAGGGAGGGGGAGACGTACACAGTATTTATATATCAAAGATTAAATGAAGGGGCAGACGTTTATAGTTCAAAGTATCAAGAGGGGAAGACATACAGAGAAGTCAGGGAGTTTTGTATCAAACAATAGTTGTATTACAGCCGTTGTATTGTATTGATAGCAGAGCATTCATGATGAGTGCGACGTATTTGTCAATATCGCTGAACTAAAAAATCGTATACAGTAATAACAAAAAGGTTTTAATGTAGAGTGTTTCTGCATTTATTTACATACACGAGGTGACTGACCCAGCATTCGATTTACTACCTTAAACGAATATTTTATGCCGGTCAGTACGTCGACCTCTTTACTCAAGGTCGTCCGTTGCTGGAGTCTCGTAATGTACACATAACAATTATAAATTCATGGGCGTTTAATAGAAATCTGATGGTACAAGCAAAACCTTCGCTTATTAAAACCAGGAGAGTTTATTGACATGATATTTAAATTTCATACATTTTTATCCTGACACTCCAATGTTTAACTTGTTCATAAAAAAAGACCCATACGTCTACATAGACAATGCCAAGTATCCCCTTTCTGGTAGAAACCTTGATTGGCGTGGGTCTGTACAGCCCAACTGCTGTTCTATGTTGTTTGTAAAAACTTATCGCATCTGTGATTATCAAAATGACATGTTTACCTGTACTTTAAGCAACTCCAAGGCCACATTGAAACAAACTTTTATAAAAAGCTAAGATATTTTTTTTCAAACAAAGTCACATCTTTTTAAAATCTGAACTTGCACATGTCGAACAAAACTTGCTAACAACACTGAAACGTGAAGGAAGGCCCTCCATCGAGTGAGGAAATGACAGGTGACCTTGGTGGTATGGCTATGCACGTTGGAAGTCCTTGTGTGGGAGCTAGGCGTTATTTTCGGAAATCTTTGACAGACGATGTTATATGTTGTAATCTATCGTACATGTGTTTCTGTTTTCAGAACAAAACCGACATTTTTGACGCCAGATTACCCATAACAAAAGTAACACTGCTTTCTGCTGATTACACCCGTTCAAACCGGGTTCTGTTCCTTTCAAGGCGATATCGAAATCGAAAGTAGAGACATTCTGTTTTTAGTTACAAGTGTACTGTCTATACGTATCATTACCCGACATGACTATATCGTCATACGACACGATTTCACCTATTGTTTTGCTATCATTAGGTATTTTAAATAAATCTTTTTACGGTATAGCAAACCAAAACACATATGCTTAATATGTACGCCTTATCAGAAACCAAACATGTATGCGGTATACGTGACCTACGTTTTTTAGCGGTCTTATAGCAGAAAAAGTAGTCATGCGTGCGTCGAAATTCATTAACTTATTTCAAGATGGAAAACACATTTTTCACCCAAAATTACTTTTGAATGCTATGTTAAATGTCCAAGATCTTTATCAGTGGGCTGTTGTCTATATCACGGTTAAAGTTGCAATTTTCAGCAACGAAATATGGAAAAAGTAGTTCCATGTCAATTTGGAGAATCGTGCGATCCCAATAGAGTCGAAAAAATCCCGGCTTGTTTGTTCCTTACTGGTTTTTTAATACACTATGATATGTTACGACTGCTGTATTGGTCTTCGTTAAGAAGCAGATGGTTAAATTCAACAATTAAGTAGTCTGCGCAGTTACCAGCAATAAAGTCGGTTTTAATATCTATAGTATATATATATATATAACCTTCTATAAACAAGGAGCCTTCAACAGAATCCTAAAGGAGCATTTGGACACGCATGTATATGGACGGAACCGGACGGACGTACAAGCTCGCTCATTTATATCCCTTTCACACTGTACACGTGAAATTACGTCATGCTTTCGGGATCCTACGTCATACTTACGTCAGATACGATGGTCGGCCCGTATACATCTTCCGAGTACTCCCATTCCGTGCAGGTCTCCAAGGGCAAGTTAGAATCCCCCGTGACTTCGGACCCCCGGATGGCCAGAGTTCCGTTGGCGATCATATTGTATGCCTGTGTTGGGTTATACATCTCACATCCGTCTCCTTTGGCTCTTAAAAAATTCATCCATTGTGTGAAACTTGTGTTAACGAAACCGTCACTTTCAGAAAGGTTCATAGCACCAATCTTGCATTGATAGTCGGGTTTAGCTCCAACAAACACCATATTCATTGCATGGAACGCACATACAATACCAACCAAACATATCAGGAACAGTCGTAGTTTCTGGTAGGGGCCAAATCCATTCACAATCTGTAGCAACTCGTCAAAATGCATGTCTGCAATTTCGGCCTTAGATTTTATGTAAGCTCTGCAAATAAGAAAATATTCAGATTATTTGACATATAATACTGAAATGGGGAGCTCACATATATATCTATACGGTATTGCCGACCTGCCCCTGTGGGTCTCTATCATTTATACATATATGAACAGATATCATGTCAATGTCTAGCAACATCACCAAATAAGCAGCGCTCCGACACGGGATTAGCTGCATATGATTGTCAATGTGTAAGACTATTTTACTAGTAATCGTTCTGTCATCTATGACTTTTTATCCTGAATGTAAGGACAGCACAGCACAACAGAAATGGAGACTCTCGTGATGGGGGTCGCGTAACGTCTTTATAAATAGTGCAAATAGGTTGCAATTATGCTGCGATGAAACGAGATATGAAGTCGTGGTAACGAGATAAAAACTAGTGCTTTGATGTCGTCTGTCAGTGGTCGTAAACTGTGACCGTTATGGCTCTAAACATGGTTGCAAAAATGTAAGGTAGTTGTTAAAGTAAAACCTGTCGAAACCTAAGGCAGCAATAGAGAGGAGCGTAGTGAACACAAAAGGCGGGGGGCAAGTTTGTCGGAGCCACATTACCGTTCTTTCTTGAGCATGCCGTCATCTTGCATGGTTGTGGAAAGAGTTGTCGATTTGGGTATGAGCAAAGAGATAGAGACGGTTCAAAGACAGCACTGCGTCCCGCTCACATGCACACGCTATCAATTTGGAATTCAAATGAAAAGCGCGTCATTAGTACACATGTAACGTTTGTTACGTTGCCGGGCAACAGATAACAACATAATATTGAACTAAGTTCATTACTGTACGCCCAGTGTATGAAAACTATAGAGTCTACATGGTTTCGCACTGAAAACTGAAATATTAGCGGCGAAAGTGTTTAGAATTTTTTTCATCTATTCTGCAACGAAGAGAAAATATCCTTAGCGTGTCTTCCGATCCTTCGCATTGTTATGAGGCAAATAGACAATGGATAATTAGCATTACTTCGTTCCGTACTCTTGATACAATAAGCCAAATGAATGAAAAGACGAAGAAACAGAAGCGACGAAACAAATTTTCGAGAACGATAAACGTACTCATCCTTTGTGTCTGAAGAGGCGACAGATTCGCGTCGTTTCCTAGATACAAGTTTCCGGAACAAAACGTCATGTGTTTTTGCAGTTAAGTGATACATTTACATTACGGGGCGTGATAACATCCAGTATTTAAGTAAATCTCCGTCGGCGTGCAGTGTTTGTTTATTTGACGTCATCGCAACAGCTTCCGAAGGTCATCTGATTACGGATGACTAGGGAGACATAGCCGGCAAGACAGAGTAATGCAGTCGTTACACAGGGCAACAGCTTCCGAAGGTCATCTGATTACGGATGACTTGGGAGACATAGCCGGCAAGACAGAGTAATGAAGTCGTTACACAGGGACAACAGCTTCCGAAGGTCATCTGATTACGGATGACTAGGGAGACATAGCCGGCAAGACAGAGTAATTGAGTCGTTACACAGAGGCTGCAGCAGACGAGTTAGGTCATGGTCTCCTCAATGTCCTCGAAGAGTTACACAACAGAAACCCCTGTAGGAGGCCCCACACAATTTGTCTCTTACGAAATGCAGTGAGATACATCAGGTATATTATTTACCAGGGTCCATATTCATGAAACCGTTCTCATGCTCAAGCATGGATTGTGGGCTCAAGCCTGATTTCTTGTTCCGGTTATTACTTAATAGTAAAATCTTATTTTGTCAGTGATTTGGAAAACCTTTGAAAAGACTAAAGGCCGAATACTGTTTTCAATTTTTTTCATTTGACATTTTGATCGTTTGCAATGATTTAAGTGAGTTACAAGAAAGTTGGGTTGAGTTCATGAATATTTCTGGAACGGGGTCATTTCACCAGAGGGACTGAGTTAGCAACCTTGATTATGAGGTGTATTGACAGACGAGGCTAGTACATGATACTTTCAATGTTAACTGCCAATCAGCCAATGTTTCATAAGTTTGTAGTTCCTATCTAAAATCAGTTCCGGCTAATTACTGGGCCATTCAGGATGTTCAATGAGGAACTGATGAATGAAATGTACTGGTATTAAACTTTTGAAAAATGTATACTTTTGATCTATTTCCATGTCTATGTGCGGAATTGCACAGGGGCAAAATGTCTGGGCGTTTCTGTTTTGGGTCACCGGTATTGCTTGTAAACTTCCGGTGTAGCCTAGACAGTTGTCACTGGTGTTGAACTTCAAATACTAAAGTTATTAGTTAAAATGTTCAGTAATAACATATAGTAAAGGGTTTAGTTGTTGGTGTCCTGAAAGGCCCGGATATTGCGCTATTTCGGTCGTAGCTATTTTTCTCATCGGCTTTCCCAAAAGATAAAACTGACCACACTGGACGTTGGTTTCAGTTCATGTCCTTATCAACTACGTAGACTTTCGTTAGGAAATCTTTATTTTCAGTATCTAGTCAATCATTGTTTATATATTAAGTAAAATTTCGATTTTACATACACGTATTTCCAAAATGATGAATCTTATTGCAAATAGCCCACAATATCGTCTTGAAATTGGAACTGGTACACAAGCATTCCATAAACTCTGAACACTAGGAACAGCATAGTGTCCATGAAATGTCTAGTCCCCGTGTTTACACAGTTGTAACGTTTAGATATACTCACGTATTATCGGGTGTACGTCCGGCGGGCTGTACTTCGGGGTTTCCTTCAGGTTTCTGCTGGAAAATAAAACAGAAATTAAATTAGGTATTCAACAGTATCTGACAATGTAAACACCATGCTTTTACATAAGTAAGATATCACTAATGCTTTTAATTTTAAAAACCTGGTAGGCTTGTGATCAGTGGTCGCCGGAGAATACTTAGTATTACAATTGCAAGTGCACAATGTTCGTCCCATTCGGCACATCCCGATATGGAGACAGGCCCATACGCTTTATATATTTACATATCTAACGATCTCGAATATTTGATACATCTGTAAATATGGACATTGGAGACCGGCAAGGAAAGATACCCGTAACAATAATACATGTAGCTAATAATGAGAATTATCGCAACAGGGACAATCAAGAAAAGTCACACAGGACGTGCACTACTGTAAGGTCAAATTGTTTGCATATATTTGTATAAAGCACCAGCATCAGTATTCTAAATAAGTGGGGTTTTTTTAATATCTCCAATTCAGAAGATTTTATCACAGTTACATGAGACAATATGGCAAAGAATCAATCATACAATTAGATTATAAACCATTTTAACAGGACATTGTATGAAATAAGGCCGCACGGTCATATATGGTAATAGATATGTCAATGAATCCCTGTCACCTAAGTGTAAATGTGAATTTACGTCTCCACACAACCTCACTATCGTCTAGTGTTAATCTGATTCCAATTTACGTCTCCACACAGCCTCACTATCGTCTAGTGTTAATTATAATCGCAGTCCATCTTACGTCTCCACACAACCTCACTATCGTCTTGTGTAAATCTGAGTCCAACTTACGTCTCCACACAACCTAACTATCGTCTAGTGTTAATCTGAGTCCAACTTACGTCTCCACTCAACCTCACTATCGTCTTGTGTAAATCGGAGTCCAACTTACGTCTCCACACAACCTCACTATCGTTTTGTGTAAATCTGAGTCCAACTTACGTCTCCACACAACCTCACTGTCGTCTAGTGTAAATCTGAGTCCAACTTACGTCTCAACACAACCTAACTATCGTCTAGTGTTAATTATAATCGCAGTCCAACTTACGTCTCCAAACAACCTTAATATCGTTTTGTGTAAATCTGAGTCCAAGTTACCTCTCAACACAACCTCTCTATCGGCTTGTGTTAATCTGAGTCCAATTTACGTCTCAACACAACCTCACTATCGTCTTGTGTGAATCTGAGTTCAACTTACGTCTCCACACAATCTCACTATCGTCTTGTGTTAATCCGAGTCCAACTTACGTCTCCAAACAACCTTACTATCGTTTTATGTAAATCTGAGTCCAACTTACGTCTCCAAACAACCTTACTATCGTTTTGTGAAAATCTGAGTCCAATTTACGTCTCAACACGACCTCACTATCGTCTAGGATAAATATGAGTCCAATTTACGTCTTAACACAACCTCACTGTTGTCTAGTGTAAATCTGAGTCCAATTTACGTCTCAACACAACCTAACTATCGTCTAGTGTTACTCTGAGTCCAACTTACGTCTCCAAACAACCTTAATATCGTTTTGTGTAAATCTGAGTCCAGTTTACGTCTCAACACAGACTCACTGTCGTCTAGTGTAAAACTGAGTCTATTTAACACCTCACCACAACCTCACTATCTAGTGCAAATTAGGTTCCATATTACTATAAACTCAACCTCACTATCGTCTTGTGTTAATCCGAGTCCAACTTACGTCTCCACACTACCTTAGTATCGTTTTGTGTAAATCTGAGTCCAACTTAAGTCTCCACACAACCTCACTGTCGCCTAGTGTAAATCTGAGTCCAATTTACGTCTCAACACGACCTCACTATCGTCTAGGATAAATATGAGTCCAATTTACGTCTTCACACAACCTCACTGTTGTCTAGTGTAAATCTGAGTCTATTTAACTCCTCACCACAACCTCACTATCTAGTGCAAATTAGGTTCCATATTACTATAAACTCAACCTCACTATCGTCTTGTGTTAATCTCAGCCCAACTTACGTCTCCACACAATCTCACTATCGTCTTGTGTTAATCTCAGCCCAACTTACGTCTCCACACTACCTTACTATCGTTTTGTGTAACTCTGAGTCCAACTTACGTCTCAACACAACCTCCCTATCGTCTTGAGGTAATCTAAGTCCAACTTACGTCTCCAAACAACCTTAATATCGTTTTGTGTAAATCTGAGTCCAATTTACGTCTCAACACGACCTCACTATCGTCTTGTGTGAATCTGAGTTCAACTTACGTCTCCACACAATCTCACTATCGTCTTGTGTTAATCCGAGTCCAACTTACGTCTCCAAACAACCTTACTATCGTTTTGTGAAAATCTGAGTCCAATTTACGTCTCAACACAACCTAACTATCGTATTGTGTAAATTTGAGTCCAATTTACGTCTCAACACGACCTCACTATCGTCTATTATAAATATGAGTCCAATTTACGTCTTCACACAACCTCACTGTTGTCTAGTGTAAATCTGAGTCTATTTAACACCTCACCACAACCTCACTATCTAGTGCAAATTAGGTTCCATATTACTATAAACTCAACCTCACTATCGTCCAGTGTAAAAACAACCTCACTATCGTCTACTTTTAATCTGAGTCCCATTTACCCCTTTTCACAACCGTTCTTGGAATTAACTATGAATGTCTACTGAAGGCATACCAATGCCTTGATTGAATCAAATTAATATAATTTACAAAAACAAACACTCAAACAAAAAATGTGTCGTTATCTAGACCGTACGTGCTGTAGTTTCAATACAATTTTGATTTGTGTAGATTGATATGCGAAATCCTATCTAAATTGTGTTTGGTACTTGGTACCGTATGGACGCTTCTGTCGAGTACAGAACACTGTAGCACATAAAGGGTTGTTTGTAGAATGTTGAGTGATCTGCAGTATAAATATGGTGTCGTTATCAAAATATTTATCTCCACAGCAGGATGATCAATGCTCCCAAATGTCATGTTTTATATTCACCGCCAACAAAAAACGAAAACAAGTGTAAGTTATAATATGCCTAAACTGAAATGTCATGCACGGCCCCATTTAATGAAATTATACGAAAAAATAGACAATAGCGAACCTAAAAATAAAATGAAAACAATCAAGCCACGTTTTACTTCCTTACCGTCTCTGATCTAACAAATCAGTTGTGTTTTCATTTCGGCTGTTCCATGTTTACTCGGTCAAGTTACAATACAAGTTGTTCCGAATGCAGTTTTTGGTACTTTGCACGAGTGTAATAAATGGGAGCTGTGTAAAACTAGTATTTTTTCTACAGCAAGTATAACTAACACCAATATAAAATATTATCAATAGGTTTAGTTGATATATTTGAATATTATGTATTACATTAACGCATAGATTTGAAAAGATTGGTATAAGAAAGCACATATTACTATATACTTAAAATGGCTAGAATAATCCCGAGTTATAAACTTTGCCGAATGAAACTCGAGTGTTCCGAAGAGCCATTGGGAACTTAGATAATTCCGTGAAGTTGTTGGGTTTAATTATTAAACGACAGTTGGTTTTATTGGTCTAAAAGAAATAATTCTTTTTGGCGAGAACCACTGTCGTTTATTAGTTTGTTGCACGTATTTTTCGACCAGAATGAGACAAATGACAGTAGTTTGTTTAGGATTTATATGGTGTGGGTCCTAGTGCAGCTGTAATGATACCAAACTCGGTAAGAGCGCAGAAGCAGTCTTCACGTACTCAAATATAAACCGAGATTAGAACATTCATATCAATGTTTTTGTTATTTTCGTACATAGCCGCCTCGTTAAGTTCTAGTTTGGTTTGGTTTGGGAGGGTGTATGTGTCTGCCATTGCATGTTTATAAAGTTGTTATTTGTTTTATATTACCATTTAGGAAGTCATGGTTTCTTTGACAAGTTTCCCCTGTAGATAGAGATATGCCATTCATTTTTAGCTTTGGGTTGATAATTTTACAGCAATTTTCAGATACAAATACAGACATTTAGTGTCAATTCCGCAACCTGCCACCTAGGGAAATGTCACTTAACGGTCGCCTAAGTTGTAATATAATTGCTATAGATTGTTATGATGTGACAAATAACAATATTACATATGTATAGCAGGTATTTGTCAGATAAAAGTGAAGTAATGTAATAAAGTAAATTTTCCCTACCCAGGGAGGAATGGATGCCCCGGGGATCGTAAAATTTACATCATGATTAAGCACATTAGGCCACTTCCACCCACCAGGAGGTTTTGACAATATCTAGGTCTGGAGAGGGCAATTGATAACAAGAGGCCCATGGGCCTTAACGGTCACCTGATATATTTATACAGAGGGTTGATTTTGTTTTTAACATGAACAAAAATATTATTCAAAGTGACAAAAAACAATAAAACCACCTTACTCAATATCTAGCATACAGATTTCAGACTAAAAAGGATTTGAAACTAGCACCTCTGATTCTTAACAAGGAAAATGAAGAAATTTTAGCACACTGACTCCTTTGAGCCCCACCCTACAGCCCTTGGGGGTAGGGCTGGCTCAAAATTTTCAAAGTATCAAACTGTCAATTCAAGGTTATAATTCCAATCAAGTTATTAACATGTAATATTCAAAGTATCATTTGCCATTATAAACCATAATA